GTTTGTGTACTTAAGGTACTTTAAACAATAGCCAATAAATTACGTAACTATAAGGGGTTATTAGGGAGCAAAGTAAAATACTTGTATTTGGGAGAGGGTATTAGGGGACACGAAGTGCCTAACTTTGTGGGGGATATTAGGGAATCTAACTTTAGCAGGTTATTAGACGACATAATATAGTACCCGACTATGGAGATTGTTAGGAGACAGAATAAAGTACCTAACTACGGGGTGGTGGTTAAGGAACATGAAAACGAAGGTCATAAGGTCATACTATGATCTGTTGTAATCACCGATCCGTTTATTTTTCAGCATGTAGTCTGTGGATATCTGGAGATGTTCTAATTTTCAATGATCTTCTCATATTTTCAGTAGAATGACCGAGTTAAAGGTAAACAACAATGTTCCTCCGTCACTTTATACACAGTGTAAAAAAAAAAAAATAGTTACTTGTCTCTGTAATTTTTGTTTCAGAAGTGAAGGTATGAGATGATTAGGGACATTTGAAATCTTCGTTTGTAAAGTTATCACAATTCAATAAAAACAAATTCGGATTTAGCCTCCATCACCACGTACAAGAGGATGTTGACGTCACGTTTGCATTCTGTGTAGCCATGTGTAACTTAACTGGGAGTTGGGTGACCTGTTTAAATCGTGAAATTAGTCAGAAATGTGTGGTTGGAAAAACTGGAAATTCGGCTTTGTATTAAGACGCACCAAAACTACAGCTAATCTGATTGCAAATATTAGAAGTACGGTTTAATCAAGTATAGTTCCTGTTAACTTCATATGAACTTGTTGGTAATTGTTTGTCCAAAAATTCAACCTTTAGAAAGTTTTTGATGTTCAGTTTTACGACTGGGGATGAATGTCCTTGACGATTTTTGCGCTTTATGCTTGAGAAGAAGCAACGTAAAAACAACAGAATTCGTTAAACTGTGTTGACGAGTCTTTCTCTGATTCGTCGAATTGTTCATCTTACGTTACCGAAGACGAGTTCAGTTTAAAATTCACCTGAAGCTCTAACCTTTATGTAGAAGGTTACGTTGAAATGTTAAAGGTCTTCTATTTTTATAGTGAAAGCAATGGAGCGTTGTTTATAGAATTATCATGCAAAGCTAAAGAAATCTCCATATCAGCTCTTACTTTTGAACGTATAGAAGCAACCAATCCCAGCATACGGTGAGATAAGAGTAGCCGAACATTTGACGGTGGTCCATCACTCTAATAACACATCCACGACCCCAGACTGAGGAACGAGTTTTTGAACGTATAGAAGCAGTGACCCCAGACTGCGGAACGAGTTTTTGCATCTATGGGACGCGAACCCTGAATTCTCGAGTTCACAGTTCGGGTACTCAAAACAAAAGGCCACGTTTAGTGCGAGAGAGAGCCCGGGCTTCTCGACTTGGATGAGTTCCAGTATAAATGTTATTGACTTGTATTAATGTTCGTAGAAGTGAGAACCTAAACAGTTTATCATGTGTGACGTAAGAACTTACTGCTTACCGTTACAGGCTTCATTACACCTGCTTATAACTAATTGACCCCAGAAATAAACATAAACTAGATAAATATGTATCTAGTCATTCCACGAAATTAGTCCACTCTTCTTTCAATATGTAACAGAAACATTCGTGTTTGGCCTGCTCGTTGTGTTTGATCAACTATGAAATGAAAGAAACTCGATTATTAGCACACTTCGTAACGAGAAAAATAATCGTACTGCTAAAATACTGAGTGCTCAATTTATGTTTGACATAATGTGTATTCTAGTGACGCAAATCAATTATGTAGGATATAACAAGAGGGAATCCTCAATAGCCGTGGCACTTGAAATTCTTAAAGTAAAATAATTTACGAGACCTTTTTTTTTTTTGCATTTTTATCAGCTAAATTTTTTGTGCGCCAACAATACCAAGCGCGGAGCACGCGTATAATACACGATTCGATTTTATTACTCATCAGGATCTCAACCAGCCTACCCTCAAATTGAAGTAATATATGAGACCTTGGGAGTGATAAAATACAATCAATCGAAAGGGTTTGACCACCTGAGTCCAAAACTGTAATTAGATCTCAAATCGGTCAAGAGATGACGAAGCTATGAGCTAAAAATTTGTACTTACAAAAAAAAAACGGATCCGTTCAATGAGCCGCTATGCCGCGGCTGAAAATTAAAAACTTTTTAAATAATCTACTAGAGGTTTCTTTGTGTTTGTTGCAGTGGTTATTGTTCTGATTGTTATTATAATCTAAAATAAAAATTTATTTCACTGAATTACAGCTTTATATTTAACATGTTTTATTTAGGGCTACGATTGTTGGCGTGGAGATGTTTTGTTATTGGTGTTATAAAACTGCTTTGTTGTCTGCTGTAAGAGAGCTTTAGAAACATTCCATTCCTTTGTGAGACAGTTCACATATTCTTTTTTTCCTTAGTAATACAGGTTGTATTTATTAAACTATAGCTGAATGATATATTACTCCCTGTATTTTCTCGTGTGCATAAAGTCACGTGATTTACCCGTGTTTGTGGGTATTTGAAGTAACTTGAGTCTTTAGTAGAGGTTGGCTACACAGCTTAACAGACTGAAGACATTTTCATATGAATGGTTTAACAATGTTGTCTTTCCATGTATAGTGTCTTAACATTCAAATAGACTGGATGTGTTTTCCATGTAAATATATCCATGGCTTAGCTTAACAACATGCTAAATATTTTATATATACTGTGTCCCCAGTTTAACATTGAATTGGACTGGAGACAAGTTGTCATATACAGTGTCTCCAATATAATACTGAAAAAGGCTGGAGACAAGTTGTCATATACAGTGTCTCCAATATAATACTGAAATAGACTGGAGACAAGTTTCATATACAGCATGTCCCCAGTATAACCCTGAAATAGACTGGAGACAAGTTTCATGTACAGCATGTCCCCAGTATAACCCTGAAATAGACTGGAGACAAGTTTCATGTACAGCATGTCCCCAGTATAACCCTGAAATAGACTGGAGACAAGTTTTCATGTACACTGTGTCAACAGTATAACACCAAAATAAATGGAAATGTATTTCTATAGAAAGTGTGTCCTGGTTACTACTGAAACAAACTGGAGATATCTCTTTGTACATACTAACTCCATGATAACCATAACTTAGGCTGGAGACATCCTTTCATCCAGAGTACATCTGGTTTAATGGTAAGACAGACTAGAGAAATCTATTTATAAACAGTGGATCCTGGCTAACGCTAAGACAGACTACAGAAGTATTCCTATACAGCATATCCTCACTAACAGTAAGACCGACTAGAGAAATCTATTTATAAACAGTGGATCCTGGCTAACACTAAGACAGACTACAGAAGTATTCCTATACAGCATATCCTCACTAACAGTAAGACAGACTAGAGAAAAAATGATAAAACCCCATAACCTGAGTGCTTTCAAAAGGTGGACCTTTCTTTTTCAGGGGCAAATAGTTTTCCCACAAAGAAGAAAAGTCCATCTTTCGAAAGTGCTCAGGGTATATTGTTTTTATCATTTTCTATCAAAAAATTTTTCTGACATCATGAACAGGCTAGAGAAATCTATTCATAAACAGCAGATACTGGTTAATAGTAAGACGGACTAGAGAAACCTATTCATAAACAGCAGACCCTGGTTAACAGTAAGATAGACTAGAGAAATCTATTCATAAACAACAGACCCTGGTTAACAGTAAGACAGACTAGAGAAATCTATTCATAAACAGCAGACCCTGGTTAACAGTAAGACAGACTAGAGAAATCTATTCATAAACAGCAGACCCTGGTTAACAGTAAGACAGACTAGAGAATCCTATTCATAAACAGCAGATCCTGGTTAACAGTAAGATAGACTAGAGAAACATATTCATAAACAGCAGATACTGATTAACAGTAAGACGGACTAGAGAAATCTATTAATAAACAGAAGATCCTGGTTAATAGTAAGACAGACTAGAGAAATCTATTCATAAACAACAGATACTGGTTAATAGTAAGACAGACTAGAGAAATCTACTCATAAACAACAGATACTGGTTAACAGTAAAACAGACTAGAGAAATCTATTCATAAACAGAAGATCCTGGTTAACAGTAAGACAGACTAGAGAAATCTACTCATAAACAACAGATACTGGTTAACAGTAAGACAGACTAGAGAAATCTATTTTTTTATGAAAATATTTATTTTCATTTTCTTTACCTGGTAAGTTTTAAATTTTTACTGGCATCAAATTATTAAGCATTTCTTATTAGATATTTCTGGAGTGTTTGCTGTTAACCATTAACAAATCGTTTTTATTGAATATTTTTATGTTCTATGAATTGTTAACTCTATCAACACAAAATTACATATTCTTTAATTTTGCAAGTTGTTGTAAGCATAACCGCCAAGGAAAGTACATGCCACATTACCTGATAGTTATAACAAGCAACTCTTAAGTCAAAGACCTCTTATTTCTGGCATTGTTTAGTTTTTAAGCAGGATGCTTGATATTTTAAGTCCAGTAAGGTTTTGTGCGAGTATTACTGAGATCCATTGTTGAATAGATTTGTTTTTGGATCTGTTATGATTCTTTGACGGTTATCTCAAATTAGAAGACCCGGTGATTAGGGGGCGCTCGACTCGCAATCTGAGGGTAGCGAGTTCCAATCCTCCTCGCCGAACGTGCTCGTCCTATATGGTTACCGTCTGGACCAGCCACCTGAGTGTAAATCTTCTGGACTTACAAAAATTACCCCAACCTCAAATTAGAACCAGCTATTATTGTGTGTGTTTAAAAACAAACTGTAAAGTTTGTATATCGTATACTAACTTCGTCATATAATATAAGCTACCCAGATCATTTATTTAGTTAATTTTATTGTTATTTGTGCTAAGCAAGTAATTTTTAATGTTTGGAGCAGCTCCCCTCCCCTTATCAATGTATTGTGGGCCGTGTTTTAAAATTAATGATGTATACCTTTCAGGTTGTGCAGAAAGAGATTGAATCCCGAGGAAAGTATGTTTCTTCGATGCAGAAACTCTGTGAAAGGCTGGGTGCAGGATCGACAGAGGGAGTGTTAGTCTGGGATGGTCAACGAGTGCGGAGAGTGGCCGCAACGCTAGAACGTCGGTGGCACGCCTTGTGGCTACGGTCTTTGGAGTGGCAATGTGTCTTAGAGGAACTGATTAACAAGTATAAATCTGTAAGTTTTTCTATAATTATAATCATTTTAGTCCAAAATTGAAAGTCGTGGAAAACATATGTTACTGGAGATCCTGAAGGAGGTAAATTGGGTAGAAACGTCTGTAGTTACAGATGTGTACAGTTGAAAAACGAACGTTAATGGCTAAATCAGCGGTCACGTTAGTGGGAAATATTTGTTCAAACATAGAAGTTACATTAACAGTTGTATAGTTTTTTAGGTCTGTTTGAACTGCTTAAATAAAAACAGGGATAAAAGTTTATCATGCAACTGCTTTGGTGACTCGGTTTCCCATTGAGATATACGAATAAAACGTGAACAGTTTTCTAAAGTGAAAACCACAGCTTACCTATTACGTCAGCAACAAATATTATAGTTACTAATGGATCTTGAAGAAATGTGCTGATCTTTAACTAATGAATCTTGAAGAAACATACTGATCTTTAACTTATGAATCTTGAAGAAACATACTGATCTTTAACTAATGAATCTTGAAGAAACATACTGATCTTTAACTAATGAATCTTGAAGAAACACACTGATCTTTAACAAATGAATCTTGAAGAAACACACTGATCTTTAACTAATGAATCTTGAAGTAGCATACTGATCTTTAACTAATGAATCTTGAAGAAACATACTGATATTTAACTAATGAATCTTGAAGAAACATACTGATCTTTAACTAATGAATCTTGAAGAAACATACTGATCTTTAACTAATGAATCTTGAAGTAGCATACTGATATTTAACTAATGAATCTTGAAGAAACATACTGATCTTTAACTAATGAATCTTGAAGAAACATACTGATCTTTCACTAATGAATCTTGAAGAAGCATACTGATCTTTAACTAATGAATCTTGAAGAAGCATACTGATCTTTCACTAATGAATCTTGAAGAAGCATACTGATCTTTAACTAATGAATCTTGAAGAAACATACTGATCTTTAACTAATGAATCTTGAAGTAGCATACTGATCTTTAACTAATGAATCTTGAAGTAGCATACTGATATTTAACTAATGAATCTTGAAGAAACATACTGATCTTTAACTAATGAATCTTGAAGAAACATACTGATCTTTCACTAATGAATCTTGAAGAAACATACTGATATTTAACTAATGAATCTTGAAGTAGCATACTGATCTTTTTGAAACTTACACAGTATGCATGAGATATCTTTGGAGTTTTCTCAATAGTTAAAAAAGATTATTAAACTTCTCTAAAAACTTTGGGCTTTTTGAAAATTTTTCTAAAAGGTAAAAAATTTCCATTTTTTTGTTAATCAGGAAAACTTTTATGAGTTATATGTAAATCCATTTCATTCAGTCCGTTTCTCTTTTGAGTTGGTCCATTTGGTGATAGGTTTTAAAGTAGCCGACAGCCTTACTAGGCTCGAACAAATGGAATTGATATTTAAGTTGAAGAATTACCATCTATAATCTATCAGGAAATCTCAATTTCTGAAAATTCTATAAAGGACAGCATTCTAAATCGATAAAAACAACGCGGTAAATCAATATTTATTGTTGCACTGTGATTAACGTCTTAATATTGCACGAGTTTTTTTACCACAAAACATTTACAGGAACAATGTCCTAATATTTTTGGAACGCTAAAAGGAATCACGATATTCTTAGAATTGTTTATTGTTACATCATAATTTTACTGCATCTGTAAGGAATTCATAACATTGTCAACATTTACAGAGTCATTGTATTGTTTGAAGATTCGATGACCTACTCATTACCTAGTTTATGGAGTTCCATACCAGTTGTTTTTTGACCTGGTTTTATATAGAATGCAACGAAGTTTTTCCAATCAAGTCGCTTTTTTTTTTGCTTCTTATTCGTTGTGTTTTTGTAAGAAATTATTACTTTCAACAGTAGTATAAACTCAGGGAAGTAAGAACAAGCGTCCCTCTATTTACAAATCATATAGTACATATCAGATGTACTTGAGCAGAATCCCCGATAGTGTTCTTTTTCAAGAGTAAATATAACCCAAATTAAAAGTAACAAATATTTAAATTTCTTGCTTTTGAATTTCATATGTCATGCTGTGTTGTAGTCTTCAGAGTGTGTAATTATTCTCGTGATTCATAGCATGCGCACGTTTTGTTGACGTCATGACAGTACAAATTGCAAGGTTAAGCGTCCCTTGTGTGACATAATTTAGGTGTCTGGATGACTGACTAGTGCGAATGGTTAAGACAGGTGACACCTTCAGGCGGCCTTTGGCCCCCTTTCGGAGAAACAAGCAAAAAAAGGGCATTTAGAACTACAACTGGGCAACAGTATTCAGTCCTTATATAGGATCTAAGTGGGTTTTAACCTCTAGATCACTTGATGTTCTTCCACTGTTTAAATTGCTTTTCACCATTCTTAGTCTGAACTTGTGTTTTAATAAAACAAATAGATCAATGAAAACATAGTTCACTAATTAGGTTGAACCCCCCCCCCCCCGTCATTGTACAGGGTCAAATAAACAGTTGTATGTCCTAACTTCCATTCCTATGTGTACATTAGTTAACTACTTCTTCAGAAGTGTTTATTTAATCTTTAATATATTGTATAACCCATGAAGTGTGTAAAATGATTGGTTCTACTTAACAACCAAATTACCCTGAGTTATTAAATCAAACAGCATTACAATACATACATGTATGGTTTACGTGGCAAGGCTTCACAGGTGTAGGTTTACTGTCTCTACATTATGTTTACGTTTATCCACAGGGAAACTACTGTTTAGTGGTTTTGTAGTTAGTTCATGGGTGATGCAAGCCACTGTCACACATAGGAATCAGTAAACTGTTTTATCAGTGATACTTTTATAGGGTAGGGAGACATAAGCTTGGCCTTGTCTTTAAGAACCATAGTGCTTTGTCTTGTTTATGTGTGAATGTATTGTTGAACCGCCACACGTCTCTAGGATACCAAATTAAATGATTTTGAATGCTTCTTCAGTTTGGGAATTTATAGTGTGTATTGTTGAACCGCCACACGTCTCTAGGATACCAAATTAAATGATTTTGAATGCTTCTTCAGTTTGGGAATTTAGAGTATGTATTGTTGAACCGCCACACGTCTCTAGGATACCAAATTAAATGATTTTGAATGCTTCTTCAGTTTGGGAATTTATAGTGTGTATTGTTGAATCGTCAAACGTCTCTAGGATACCAAATTAAATGATTTTGAATGCTTCTTCAGTTTGGGAATTTATAGTGTGTATTGTTGAATCGTCAAACGTCTCTAGGATACCAAATAAACATAATTGCACAGTATTTGTTACTACCTACCGCTCCAGTAGGCTTGCGCGAAAGTTCAACAAAGAAACAAACAAATACTACCCACCATCCGAGTTTTATTTATTTGCTGTTTTTAATATTTTGTATTGTTACACAGTAAGCGTTCATGTTGTGACGCAGTGCAAGCGCATTTGTATTTATTATGGTTAACAGAAACGCTGTAGCATAAGTCGGTGTGGCCTTTCAGGGGTCGAATTTTGAAGGGTATTTTTTTTAACAGGATGTATGAAGTTTTAAAACTTAACCTCCCCGTTAGTTGAAGTCGTGACATTCATGTGGCGGAAACGCTTGAAGCTAACATCAGGATTTTTAGTTCTTGTGGGTCCTAATTGCATAGGAACAAAAGTAAACCTGACATAAGTAACCATACTTCAAGTGAAGGGAGGACGTTCCGGTTTTGTAATCGTTGTGGAGAATCTGGTAAGGTTTCGTAAGTTTGTTTTGAATTTCGCGCAAAGCTACAGAAGAGATATCTGCGCTAGCCGCCCCTATTTAGCAGTGATAGACTAGAGGGAAGGAAGTTAGTCAACCCTACCCACCGCCAACTTTATTGGCTACTTTTTTACCAATGGTTTCGTAAGTATTCTAAACTATTTAAGTCGTCTTTTGTCGGTCCTCTTTAAACTACTCAATAGGCTTATTTATTTAACAAGTTAGTGACCCTTTCGAAATATTATTGTGCTTTATTGAAGCGGTCCGTTAAGATAGATTAAAAAACAAAAAAAAAGCACAAGGTGACTGCGAGGCTTCCGCGTTATTTTTTACACGTGAATGTTTTTCGTATCCTTAAATCCACATACATACATATATACATACATATGAATAACAGATAAATAGACAAGAAGAGAGTCGCCGTCTTATGTCAGTGCAACATTCATATCGACGGTTGAGAATAGTAATTTCTGATGAGGTAATTGAAGTGTCAGAACTGCTCTCTTGACAGGCACTTTTGTCTTTACGATAAATGGTAGATAATGGATGTTAATACTTTGTATAGAAAGAAAGATTTAAGTACTTTTTCTAGCTACAATTGGAACTTGAGGAGTATGATGGTTTAAAAAGTTGTAGGTCTGATTTAGGGTTTACTTCATTCACAAATTGGGAAGCCTGTAGAGGGGAAGGGGGGTGATGCTGCATGCATGCGCCATCTGTTCTAAGTTAAATGTAACGTTTCTGTCAACGTGGTTGTGTATCGTCTAATAATGTAACCAATCACGATGTAATATTGGATTCCACTAATGGAAAATACTGCCATCATTTAGTGTGGTGATTTTCAACCGATACTACATGCTGAGCACAGATTGGATATAAAAACATTAAGATGATTTAATCCAAGAACTACCGATAGGGGTCCGTATCTCGTCGGCTTGTAAACTTTTTTGACATTATTCACTAAATCTCATGTAGGCCCATGACTGTAGGCTATAATATAATAAGGCACGTAAAATAATGTGAACGAAAATGTAATCAATATTGCAATTAATTTCACATAATTTCTTAAATTACAAAGATTATTGTTTTTATTTAATTTTCCATTCTTTTCTTTTCAAAAACAGTAAAAAGTCTTTATGAATATTTATTTACCTCTTAAAAGCGTGTAGGCCTATGACAACGCAAACAAAGCGTCGTATCGACGGACGCTTTTTGAACTCTGGTAGTTGTAGTGTTGATTTAGTCAAGTGGTAGGCTTAGACAGGTATAGATTTTGTGTTTAGCAAGCCCTACTTGTAAAATAAAATAACACAATTAGTTTTGGTTTATTGTAGCGGGTTTCGTCTTTCTTTGGGTGGTGCATGAAAAGGTTGTGTAATTGCGAAGAGGAAGCGGTAACATGGTTAATATTATTATTATTTTAAGTTCTTACTTCACTAGTAGTGAACGCAAGAATTAGACCATTTATGTATACATCTGGAAAAAAGTTAAGCACCCCCAAATATTTTTCAGGATTGCTTATTGAAAATAAGGTTTAATTTTCATGATGTTGAGCAATGTTCATAATTTCAAAC